AGAAACTGGACTTTTAGGTGGATATTTATATTGTGGATGTAAATTTTAAATGATCAGAGATTTGCACTGAATGTAGCATTTAATTTAAAGAAACTCTGCAGTGGGAGAAGAAAACAGTGTCCATTCTTCCTAAAGCATTAAAAGTTAAAATACTTCAATTTTAGTATTTCACATGCACAACACTTTATGAAAGCTTAGTAATTAACAGCTATTACAAGCACTGTATTGATAGCCTGTGTTTGCAGTAAATACTAAAGACATCCAATTACTGGACTATAACAATTTACTGACCATTCATTACTATGAAGGGTGGATAAAACTGTTGTACTCCAGTAGCTACTGACAGAAAGAATGATCATAATAAAATAACTAACATAGTTTCAGCCATTACTGAATTTTTAAAAGGACGAAAGTTCTAGACATTTGCCAGGATTTTTTAAAAAGCTGCTTCAAGGTGACAACAAATATCACAGACCAAAGTTGAGGCACCCATTTTTTAAATGTTGTCTAGAATCAGAGGTAACAACATGAAGGGTCCAGCTGTTACACCATGACTCATTTAGAGATTATGTGGTTTTATTCCATGGAAAAAAGACTGAAGAATACTGCTGTGTTTCTGCAAAACAACTAAATTTAAACAGCTCAGGCAATACCCAGATTTAAAATGCAAGGCTCAGTGTGAAAAAGTTATGGTGATAAACTAGCAGGACCAGAGGGGGCTGTTAGATTCTACTGGAAAAAACCTTTTGAAGTCAATGATAAACACCTCTTAAGTGCAAGGAGTATGAGACTTCATCTCTGATACATACCTAAAACCCTAATTGAATGATCAACATCTACACTTATAAGAGAAAAACCTAAGACCTTGAAGGTGTGCCTACTGCATCCTTACTGCCTTTTACCTCTATGCAATTCAAACCCACGGTCCTAAATACTGATGATGCATGTGCATTTTGTTTTGAAAATCACTGCAGAGTAGCAAAAACATTTTCTTTTTTTTTAACAAAAATAATTACAGGTGAATGATTTTAAACACTGTTTGCTGCAATAAACCTATTGAAACAAAAGAGGCACTTCTAAATTAGTGAAGTTCCTACTGATATCAGCTATTAGCAATTAGGAACTCCACCCCCTCCCAACTTTTCCATCTTTAAACAGCAATGATTAAATTTGGTTTTAAAGTGGAGAAATTATATTAGAAAAACACCT